CTATCAGCGGTCAAGGCCCAAGGAAAATTAATAGAAAAAAGTATTACTAATTAATATAACAGGAGTGCCTATCAGGTAATCCTAACATCAGTGCATCCAACAAATTTCGCTAATCAATCACTTTCATGTTCTTGACTTCTAAGAGCCAAAATGGTAGAAATCTACTACAATCCTCATCTCTTGATCATGTTGAAATTGACATTGTACAGTGTGTTGCATCATTCTTTTTTTATATATATAACAGATACTTCCTCTGGGGCCAACCGAAATTCAGTGATAATGGGTCCACCCCCTAGCTTCTACAGTACACATATGACTGGCTTTTTGGTCATGCCGAAAATTGTCTATTAACTGTCTTAGGTTTAGTTCCTCTGGTTGGTTAGAACAAACAAACATCTTCAAGCAGCAAATTCCAATTCAAATCCTTGATCTCAACTAAATCACCATCCAAAATTTATATCTTATACATCAGTAATTGCATAAGTGAATGAACCTGACTCAACAATTTCCAAACACCAAATCCCAACCTCCCAACTCCAAAAGAAAGAACAAAACTACTAACACAAATATAGGTTAATTTTCCTTTAACTGCTATATTAGAGTTGAGAAGAAAGTCACAAGACGTAGACACATCATCATAAATGAAATAGAAGTAGACAAGAAGCTAAATAAGTTACATTGTCCATATAGAAAAAAAGGAGATCAGTACAGCTGACAAACAATCACTTATAATGTAATTAAGAGTCTTTCCATACGGAACAAAATGGTGAAATCAATAACCATAGCAGCTTTGATAACTGTAGTTTCTCAATCGACAATCAATTATTTCCCACAGAAACTCTTAAGTAAGTTCCACAATCCATGGAACCTAGGCACACAAGACATTCCATCAAAAACAAACTACAAATGTAAAAGAAAGACTACACAAGTCAACAACAACATACCCACAGTGAAATCCACAAGTGAGGAAACATTTTCAAAAAATGCTAAATCAATGGGGAATTAGTTTTTTCCTTTAAAATATGGAACTGTGAATTCATAGTATGTCCATGTGACACAAAAAAGTATGGTCGAAGTGTCCTAGTACAATCTTCGGGTGTGTGGTCTTATGAAATAATGGTCTCCACATTCAAAATCTATAACCACCCTTGAGCCAAAAAGTGGGCTATTCGATGAATTGTGTTTCCTCTACCAAGAACCTCTAATATTTCTTTCACAGATATTGACTAAAGTAGCATAATCTCCCTAACAGTAAATAATATTCGAAAGTGTATCACATATCATTCATATTCAAAAAGGCTAATACCTACTGAAATATTTTATAAAATACAGAGCATAGTCAGTCACACTACTGTTTATATCCAATAAGATGCAAGAACAGACACTAGTCTGATTAGAAATCTGGCAAACTATCATAGTCTGTCAAAAGTATGAAATAATAAACGCTTTTCCAACTATTGCCCATGATTTCCTGTTGCTATGTATGTTAAATTGCTTCCACGTTACAATTTTGATTGCCAAACAACAAGAAGTCGTTGTGTTTCAGAAATATCCCCACTCATAAGTCCAAGATACATCTATGAATTGAAAGGTCATCTGAAAAAATTAGAACACTTCTTATTGGATGATCAGGAGACTTCAAGCATTTCAGATCCTCAACATGATTGAAACTATATTAGCACAGTACGGTCACATCATTTCTGATCCTTAACAGTGTTATATTTGGACCCAATCGCGAATGTGAATGGAACCAAGGGAGGGCAGAGTCTAGATAAATAAGAATCTAATTCTAACCATGGAAGCAAATAACTCACTATCAAGAAGATCTAGCTTTCTGATAGAAGCATGTAAAAGACATTCCAGAAGCCATCCCGACCCTATACAACCACAAATTCCCATGCGTATCAACATCAATAAATAGCCCTAAATGCCTCAATCCCAACTAGATGTGTATAAATCTTCTATATCCATTGAAGTCTCATAACATCAACGACTACGCCTCAACCCCTCAATCCAATGAATCCTCTACATCCGTCTGATTCCAAGTCCTCAACCCATCGTTCCCTGGCCGCATCCATCCTCCTTTACCCATGTATCATTCATTTCACATATCGATAATTCTATTAAACACTAAAATTCACATGGCTTTATAAACAACACACCGCCCAAATTCATCACCGTCAAAAATCACATAAAAACAACTCCAATCCCCCACAACAGACATCAAAAGAACAAAAACTTAAACCAAAAAAAACTGGAAAAAAATAACCAATCAATCAGCTACAGAAGATCGGTAAACGAATACCTGTTAACGGAAGGAGGAGGGGACGGATCGATGGAGGAATCGTTGACGCGGTGAAGAATTCTGAGAATTTTAGAGAGAGAAAGTGAGATTGGGGACTGAATATAGAGAGAGAAAGAGAGAGAGATAGGTAATGCGAGGCTGAAATGAAACTGAATCGACAAAATTAGGGTTTCCCTACAGATGGAATTTTACAATTCATTTTTTTTCTTTTCTTATTATATACTGAAGTCTTTAATATTACCTTTTTTTTATTATATATAATATGTGCTATTTATTTATTTTTCCTTTGAAATAAAACAAAATCAAAATATGTGAAATGTATGACATTTGGATAAGAGTTTATTCAACTATATATTAATTGATTGTTCTTATTTATTTGAACTTTGATAGATATAACTATTCAATTTTATTTAAAATGTATAAAATATTAATTGACCTTTTTGGTTGTGAAAGACTACACATTTCATTATTTTAAATGAAAAAACATTAATTGACTTTTTTTTTTTTTGTAAAGATTACACATTTATTAAAAATTAAAAATTATTAATTGACTTTTTTTCGTTGCAAAAAATAACATTCTTTATTACGTTAAAATAAAAAAATAGCATTAGATCGTATTAACCATAGAATATATTATCAACTCACTACTTCTAAGTCCAAATATTGATAGAGTGTGCAATACATTAACGTTAATCCTTGAAGATTCTCATTTTGTAATCTAAAATTTATAATTAAACATGATAGTTTGTTTTTGTACCATCTCGACCTAGTTAACTTGAATTCAGAGCCTAGTAATAGATAATAACAATGTATTCTATGATCAATACGATCTAATGCTATTTCTTTATTTTAACGTAATAAAAAGTGTTATTTTTCACAATCAAAGAAAGTCCATTTTTCAAAAAAAAAATTGAAATTATTTAATCAATATTAACTCAAATTGGTTACTATGACATTTTATTTCTTTAAAAACAATTAAAGGATATGTAATCATGTGTAGTGATGTGCTTATAACAATTATTAAAAGTCCGTTAAATTCATATAAGCTGACATTTCTATCAATTGAAGTTTGAAAAGCAAACATTATCAAATAATTAAAATATTATAATAGTGGTCATTTTTATGTAAGATTTATACAATTATTATGTATTTATTTTGTGCATCAAAATATGAGAACTCAATAATATTTATTAGTATTAAAATACATACCTGAAAAATACAATTTCAATATTTTTTATTTTTTTATGGTTTATTATAGTGAAGACCCAATTGGGAGCACGTTCTAGAGGCTTGTCGAATCATTTTTGTAATTAAAAGATTTGTTGAAAAATAATTTGTCACCTAATTACTAAATTAGTCATGTTCATGTTTGACTTTTTGACCTAATCAAAACATGGCTAGCTTTTCATTTTGCCAATTTTCTTTGACCATCTTTTTTTAGAAAATTGATTGGTATATTTTATTTAGAATCAACATATCTAATGTTTTTAACATTAAATTATCTTATAATGAAATTATAGTGAGTTAAACATTGTCAAAGTATTGCTTCCTAATGATCTAGATAGGTGTTCCATCTATACTTATATTTAACTATCATCAAATTGTTTCAAAAGAAAATTTAGCAAGGTATTATAAAGATAAATTTCATAAATATATAATAAAGTAGTTATTTTTCATCTTAATTCAAAAAAATTAGCGATAACCCACATGTGTATTATATGCAACAAAAAAATTTAAAATAATTATGTGTATAGAGGTGTATATAGATCTATATACATTATTGATACAATAAAAATATACAATGTATACCAATTATTTTTTAAATTTTAAACAACTTCAAATCTCCTCTAAACAATCCTCAAGTTCAAATGCAAGCTCTTCTCAATGTTTCAATTTTTTGATATATTATTCACTCGAAATTAAAAAAAAAAGAAGAAGGAAGAGAAGCACAAAACAAACAGGAAAACAAAGCATTCTCTCTCTCTCTCTCTCTCTATATATATATATATATCAATCTCGGATAAGTCTCTAACCTTTCTCGAGTATATTTCTTTCATTAAGTAAGGTAGCATTTTCAATGTATGAGACAACTAAGAGAGAGTATTCAAAAATAATAAAAAAATTTAAAAAAATTATATTTGAATAAACTTTTAAAATAAATTATAAATAGTCTTCTATATGAAATTTTGGTAGTTTATACTTATAATAATAAATTCATTTAAAGTAAGGGAATACGCGAGGAATTATCATAAGAACCATGATATTCAATATCGTAAAAGGGATACAGAGAGTTTTTATTAGGGATTTAAAAATACGAAGAAATAAATAAACCAACCATATATATCTTAAAAACAATTTAAATCACATATAAATAGTGTAATTTTTTTTTTTATGAATCAGCTATGTGCATGGGCATCACCAACAAGATGATTTATATACGTTCATATATATTGTTTATACAATATTTATACATCCCAGCAATTCACCTTACTCAACGAGGTTATTTTATTTCTTCAATCCGGTCTAATTCAAATCTCGTCTAAACAAATTCAAATTTGAAATATGAACTCCACTTGATGTTTCAAGCTTTGATATGTTATTCATTCGAAAAAATTCACATTTGTGATAGGTGAAACTTTTAAATTTAAGCTATAGCAATGAATAAAAAAAAAAACTATTTACTTGACTAATACAATAAAACAAAAATAGTAGTACAGTAAATGTTATTATTGAACTTCAAACATTATTCTTTAAATATACATTTTGTAACTCTTTCTTCTTTTAGTCTTTTCATATACATATACATGTTTTTTTAGAGTACTTGTTTCATCAACAATACAAATACAACCTTCTGCACATTCAAAGAAAATATTGCCTACTTCTGCTGCTTCTGTCTTGGAGACAACACATGACCACCCTTCACCACAATTGCATATAACTTTGTCTTTGGAAGACACTTCTATAGCTGTTTGTGAATGTGAAATTTCTTTCGCGGCTTCGCCCCTTCATAAGAATATCAAAAGTTCAGTAACCATACGTGAAATCAACCCTCAAAAGTCACATGAGTCTTTTTACAGGATTTGAACTTGATGAGTTTGATCGGACTCGAAATTTAATATTATACGAAAGATTTAATAAATTTCATACCAAGACTTATTTGTGAGTCTCATAAGATTATAAGTCCAAGCACCAAATATGGCCCCCAAAGTTGGCCCAATAATGTAGATCCATAAACCTTTGTAATGACCTGTAACAATTGCTGGTCCCAAACTTCTTGCTGGGTTCATTGATGCCCCTGTTAGTGGTCTGTATTTCAACAAAATCATATGTTTTACGATATCGGCTCAGGTGAAGGAAATCAAAGTAGAAATAAAGAGAAAGAATTAAACTGTAACATCAAAAACAAAATTGTAATCACCTAAACATAATAAACAACAGACGATCATAGATACCAAAAGTCAAATACTATTACTACAACAAAAATAACTTTTAGCGGGTAATAAATATACACATGAATAAAGAGTGTTAAAGTATTTACCCGCACTAGTTAAGTTTCATTAGATCCAATGCCGTTAAAGCCTTTAGGGACATATATAGCGAATGTTACATATTTAACAGCAATTGCTAATTAATTGCCACTAAAGCTCATTTTTTATGTACTGTATATGCCTAATTTAGCGATAATATGGTTCTATAAATAATCATATATAATATGTTTTCAACATGATGGGACCAAAATAATAGCTTGAAATGAAAGATATAAGTACCCGGAGAACAATATATCAAGTGAAACAGTGGCTCCAATTGCAACACCAGATAAATGTTTCATCTGCATCAGTTACAAATTATAACATATACTTAATTTAACGCGGTATACGATTAAAATTATATTGATTGATCGCGAAATGAAACTAACAGCTCGATCATCAGTAGCAACACCAGCAATGACAAACATTAGGTAAAATGTGGCAATAAACTCAAGTATCAAAGCTTGTAAATCTGTTCCTGCTGGAACTGTTCCAACAAATTGATCTTCTTTGCCATTAAATATTAGTCGAAGGGATCCACTCGCGAGAGTGGATCCCACGACTTGTACCAAAATATAAGCCGGAACCTACACAACAATATAATTCAGTATCCACGATAACAACAACAATAGTAATATTAAACGATATGATGATATTGATTATACGTTCGTTCTGTTTTTACCTGAATCCATGGAAACATTTTGCTTGTGGCAAATGCAATTGTTACAGCAGGGTTAAAATGTGCACCAGATACATGACCAACGGAGTAAATCAAAACCATCACCACAAGTCCCCAAACAGACGCGATTCCAGGTAGTGTGACAACGTTGTTCTTGTTTATATTCAAAACTATAGCAGCACAACCAGCAAATATCAACATGTACGTTCCCACAAACTCTGCTATCAACTACAATAACAATGTTTTTCGCGTTTAAATTGTTAGAACCGGAAATAAGCAGGTGTAAACGCGGAAAGCTAGCAAAGCAAACCTCAAAAGACCACGAGTATGAAAGACAACGAGAAATATACCAAAAGACACAAAGATTTAACGTGGTTCGGTCAATCGACCTACGTCCACAATGGAGATGAGCAATCCACTATTAATATGAGAGTACAAAATACAGAGAGAAACAACCTCAACCAATTCACTAAGAATACACGGGAACATTTTCCTACCAGAAAAAGAATTAGTCAATTCAAAACTTTTTTCCTAAAAGAAAAACCTATTTATGATAAGAAATTTAGGACAAAATAAAATCCAACATAAATGATGTAATTATACAATTCATATCATCAGACAATGGTTCATGGATCCAAAATCTTGAATGATTCCATTTTGGTTTGAGCTCAAACATCACCATCTATATAACTAAAACTCGTCGAAATTGACTCAACCTGCTCATCTGACACTTGAAAATTCGAGACTCAAATTTAATCATTAAGATGAATTTTGTGAATTTAAATACCTTTTGCACGAAATGTACGCTGATAAAGCATTTTAAGTGTTTTTGAGGAGTAGCAGACGAAGCAATAGCGGATGGTAATGGTGATGGACAATCATTGATCCTTAACGAAGTTGCTCGAATTCCTTCAGAAATTTCCTCCATAGTAAATTGTGATTTGATTAATTATTGGCTCAAATAAACAAGAAAATGGATGAACAAGAACTAATTAAGCATGTTTATGAGTCCCTTTGTTGACTTTGTGTAATTGTAATTGACAAAAATCTTTATTTATTCATATGATTGTGTGGATTGATTATAATTTATAATTAATTGAACAAGTAATAAGTAGGCTTTTATTAATGCCAACATTTCAAGCAAATAATATATAATTGAGTTTCTAAGCCACTACTCATAAACAATGTACATGTTAACGTCAAAAAACACGTATGATAAAAGCTCAAAGTCAACCGACATATCGGAGTTGTAAGCTACTGGCTAATTAAATTTTCTTTTAATTCATAATTAAATGAGATTAGAATGTAATATTGTCTTTTAGACATTTATTATAAAATTTAGAATTTAAATTTAAAAATTGCATAAAGAATGGGTCGAGTTTGATGTTTTCCAGCCCATCTAGATAATGGTTGAGTCTACTCTAACCCTTCTAACTCCAAAGTCCGTATATATCTTAAGTCTAATGAATGGACAATTGGCTTCGTCTAAACATTTTATCCGAATTTAATAAAATTTTTAGAGAAATATATGTATAGGTACGTATTAACAATAAAGTATTAAATTCAAACAACATTTATCATCCCATAAACATGCATTTATCAATCTTACAGACTTTAAATTATTCAAATACAATTTACAACAAGACAATCAAATACTTCCAGATACTATACATAGATCTGGTTTTATTTCTCATAAACATAATAGTAATTTTATGCCAAAGAAGTGACTTTATTTGTCACAAACATAACAATAACTTCCTGCCAAGCAAGTGGCTTTATTTCACACAGAGATAAAATTAGTTTCATTTCACTTAGTGGCATCACCAACAAGCTTGAATTCTT